GAGAGGATTTGGGCAAATGTTTTCATCACAAAGAAATGACAAGTATTTGAGGTGATGGATATACTAATTACTCTGATTTTATCCTTACACAATGTTTATGTGTATCAAAGCATCACTATGTACCCCATGAAAGTGTATAATTATTTGTCAATTCAAAAATAAATTTTTAATTTAGTTTGTTGAGGCAGGGTCTTGCTCTTTCACCCAGGCTGGAGTACACTAGCGCCATCACAGCACACTGCAGCCTCAACCTCCCAGGCTCAAGCAATCCTCCCATCTCAGCCTTCTGAGTAGCTGGAACCACAGGCACACACTACCACACTCACACACACCATCTTATCCCCTTGTCATCTAACATAAAATTTCTGTAACTTTTGTAGAGATGGGGTTTCGCCATGTTGCCCCGGGTGGTCTCAAATTCCCTGAGCTCAGTTGATCCACCTGCCTCAGACTCCTAAAGTGCTGGGATTACAGGTGTGAGCCATTGCACCCAGCCAATTTAAATTTTTTTAATTAAAAAATGTGATATTTTAAAAGCCCAGAATGAGATACCATCACATACTATCCGAATAGCTAAAATTTTAAAAAAGAAACTGACAATGGCAAATGTTGATGAGAATGAGGAGTAACTGAGAGTCCCATACATTGCTGGTGGAAATGCAAAATGGTGTGGCTATTCTGGAAAATAGTTTGGCAGTTTCTTATAAAGTTAAACATATGCTTACCATAAGATCCAGCAATCCCACTCCTAGTTATTTATCCAAGTGAAATAAAAACCCACAAAAATCTGTATAGTTTTGTGGGTTTCTAAGGGAAAGACGTATCACACAAGGAGCCAATGGAAATCTTGTTGGATATGACTTTCCCTTCGAAACCCACAAAAATCTGTATAGTTTTGTGGGTTTCTAAGGGAAAGACGTATCACACAAGGAGCCAATGGAAATCTTGTTGGATATGACTTTCCCTTCGAAACCCACAAAAATCTGTATGTAAATGTTTATAGCAGCTTTATTCATAATTGCCAAAATGGAAATCCAAATGTCCTTTAATTGAGAAACAGATAAATATACTTTAGTATAGCCATACAATTGAATACTACTCAACAATGTAAAAAAAGGAACAAACTATGATACACAGAAAAACAACATAAATGAATTTCAAAATAATTATGCTGAGTAAAAAAAAACCCAAAGCCCCAAAGAAGGACATACTGTACCATTTCATTTCTATAGGAATCTGGAAAAGTGGCCATGGTGGCAGGGATGGAAGGTATGCATGTGCTCAGCAACATGGATTTCCACTCACTAAGGCCAGCATGAGCACAGCCACTGCTGAGTATCCCATCTGCCAATCTGCCAGCAGCAGGGACCAACGCTGAGACCCAGCAACGTTCCCTGGGGTGATCAGCCAGCCACCTTGTAGCAGGTTGACTGGAATACTTCGATCATGAAAGGGCAACACTTTGTTCTTACTGGAACAGACAGTCTAGATTTGGATTTACTTTCCCTGCATTTAATGCTCTGCCAAAACTATCATCTGTAGACTTTCAGAATGCCTTATCTATCACCATTTTTTCCACACAGTAGGGCTTCTGATGAATAAACTCATTTCACAGCAAGTGAGGGGTAGCAATGGGCCCATGCTCATAGCTTACCATGTTCTCCATCATCCCGAGACTTGAAAGGCGGAATGGCCTTTTAAAGATCTAGTTACAGTGCCAGCCTGGTGGCAACACCTTGCAGGGTGGAGGCAGTGTCCTTCAGGAGACCATATATATTCCAACTCAGCCTCCCACATATGGTGCTATTTGTCATATAGCTAGGATTCACAGTTCCAGGGATCAGTAGTAGAAATGAAATGGCACAACTCACTATTACCCCTAATGATCCACTGGTAAAAGCTTTGCCTCCCATCTCTGTAGCTTTATGCTTTGCTGATCTAGAGGTCTTCATTCCAAAGGGAGGAATGCTTTCACCAGGAGTAACAATTATTTCATTGAACTGGAAGTGAAGACTGCCATGGGTCATTTCGCACTCCATGATTCTGAATCAACAGGTAAAGAAGAGTTTGCCTCCACTGGGCCAGGGTGATTCCTCCTGACTACCAAAGGGAAATTAAGCTTCTTAATTTGAAACAACGGAGGGAAGAAAAGTATGTCTGGAATACAAGAGGTCCCTCAGGACATCTCATAGTACTACCATGCCCTACGGTGATTAAAGCCAGTGGAAAACAGTAATAACCCAATGCAGGTAAGACTTCTAATTTCCCAGACCCTTCAGGAATGAAAGTTTGGGGCCCTCCCACCAGGCAAAGAACTACAACCAGCTCTGAGTTTCTTGAGGAAGGCAAATAAAATAGGGAATAAGTAGTGAAGAAGAGTAGTTATAAACACCAGCTACAATCATGTGACCAGTTGCAGAAGTGAGTACTATAATTATTATGAGTAGTCATTATTTTGTTATGAATGCTCGTGTGTGTTTATGTATATTTTTTCTTCCCTCTTATCCCCTTGTCATCAAACATAAAATTTATTGAAATAGCTACATTTACATAATATTAGTAAAGTTACCGGATTATCAAGAATAAAAGTGAACACCAGTCAAGGACTATGAATTCTCTTCTGGGAAAAAGAGCACATTTTCAGTTGTACACAGGTTACAACTGTGTCATGATAGGCAGAAGTTTTACTTTGTTGCTGTCTTTATTGGGAGATTAAATGGTTTAAGGAGATCTGTACCGGTGCCAAGTTAACAAGACATGGATTGTGGTGATCAGTTTCATGTGTTGACCTGGCTAGGCTCTAATACCCAGTTACTCAAAACCTGATCTAGATGTTGCTGGGAAGGTATTTTGTAAATGTAATTTACATCTACAATAAGTTAACTTTATGTAAAGGAGATTATCCTGGATAATATGGTTGGGTCTGATCCACTCAGTTGAAAGCTGAGGTTTCCCTGAAGAAGGAGAAATTCCACCTGTGGACGGCAATGTCAGCTCGTCTGAGAGTTTCCAGACCTCCCTTCCACACAGCCTGCCCTATGGATTTTGGATTTGCCTAGCAAGCCCCCACAACTGCTTAAACCAATTCCTTGCAAATAATCTAGGTAGATGTCAGATACCTGGATATGAAATTAGACAAGATAGAAGATAACCTACTGGTTGTGTTTCTCTGGTGGAACTCTGATTGATACACAAATCATCTGAGAAAATCTTGCATCTCTTCAGAGTCAGAGCTTGTTTTTGACCCTAAAGGAATCACCGAGCATTCATCAGACATGGCCCCAAAGTGACTGGGCAAATCTCAGGAGTTCAAAAAATTATTCTGATTGAGGAGTAAGATAGGCAGGTCGTGCAACACCCCTCAAATAGTGTTCTTTTACCTTCAGATACCTCAGTTCTTTTGTGTTGATTAAACTATCTGCAACACATTGGAATAGTACATAGCCACTTTAAAATATGCTCATTATTAACTGTATCTAAAAGGAGACACAGAATCTCTTAACATTATTGCCTCTAAGGAAGGTAACCCAGTAGCTGGAAGACAGAGGTGGGAGGGAGAACTTTTGCCTTTTGTGCCTTTAGAATAATATATCATGTTAATGTGTCATTTAGATTAAGGGTTGTTACACTATGCTCCACAGACCAAATCTGGCCCCTGCTTTTTAAAAGTTTTATTGGAACATAGCCATGCTCATTTGTTTACATATTGTCTATGGCTGCTCTCAGGCTCAAATGGCAAAATTCAGAAACTGTAATCTATATATATATGGTCATATGGACCACAAAGTCTAAAATAATTATCTGATCCCTTATGAAAAAAATTTGCCAAGCTGTCTAGATTTTTTTAAAGAAAACTGACATTAACAAATAAAAGATGCCCCAAGAGAATCGAAAACATGTATCTACACAAAAATTTGTACATCAATGTTCATAGCAGAACTAATCACAATTGTCAAAAAATAGAAACAATTCAAACATCCATCAACAGATGAATAAACAAAATGTGATAAACCCACACATTACTCAGCTAGAAAAAGGAATTAAGTACTGATAAGTGCTACAGCACAGAGGAACCTTGAAAACATCATGCTAAGTGAAAGAAGCCAGAAACAAAAGGCCACATGTACAACTCCATTTATATGAAATGTCCAGAATAGGCAAATTCATTGAGATATAAGGTAGATCGGTGGCTTCCCAGGGCTGGGGAGAAGGGGGAATGGGGGAGTGACTGCAAACAGGTACACAGTTTCTTTTGGGGGTGACCAAATGTTCTAGAATTAGATAGTGGTGATGGCTGCATAATTTTGTGTATATGCTAAAAACTACTTAACTGTACACCACCACCAAGTACAGGGCAATCCAGAGTTCAGTAGAGGGCTCAGAACCCAGTGATAAATTAGTCCTCTCTGCCACTGCAAACCAAAATCAAACCTGGCCTGGGAGTCAGATCAAGTTCTGCGTCCCAATTGTTGCGGACAACCATGTGATCTTAGACAAGTTTCTTCCCTGCTCCTTCCCTATGGCATGGGTGTAACTGAGCAGGGAGGGAGAACGCTGGTGGTGTAATAGGGATGTGAGGGGGGATTCTGTTCTTTCTCCAACTTTATTAGATACCCTAATAATCAGCATCTTCATCATCATCATTACCCTTTTCCAGGCATTTTCACATATATGATGTCATTTGATTTTTCCTTTTAGAAAAAGACACATATTGTTTCCATTTTATAGATGAAGAAATCGAGGATCAGAGAGATCAAGTACCTTGTCCAAGTTCATCCAGTGGGTAAGTGTTGGAGCTGGGATTCGACTCCAGGTCTTCTGATTTTAGATCTCGTTCTGCCTTCACTACCACACTGTTTTTGCATGTTTGGATTCTCTCTAGAAAGCCCAAAACAGGAGTGTCCAGCAGCTCACCACAGACTACACACCTTCATCTGGGCAAAGGGAGGAAGGAGAGGCAGAACCTGGGGTTCTGCTGGTTCTCTTATCTTTCTTATGAATGTCTGTATTGGCACAGACTACTGTGGGTAGGAGTATTCATGTACATTAGTGAGGACACCAAGCCCTCATACATCACAAAGACAGACACACAGGTACACTTGGCCTCAACAGGTGACAGGTCATATTTGTTACTAGGTAATGAAGGGTCTATGCTTTTTGTTCAGGGGAGGCCTAAGATGTCAGAACTCTGAGCATCTGCTTTCCCTTCTAAGACTAGAAGACCCATCTCTCCCAAAGGCCTTAAAGATGAAGAGGTGGCTCCTCAACCCTTAGTAGAGAGGAGAGAGGAGGAGGGAGGGAGGAAAGTATCCTCGCTGTCCTTGCTAAACCAGAGCCCCAAGAGAGGGAACATCAGGGATTCACTACCAAGAGATCTGGGCCTACATCTTAAAGAGTATTCATGAGACGCCTGCTGCCAAACCCAGTCAAGCCCTTGCACATCACAGTGCTAAGCTCCAGTGATGCCACCAGCTACGTGGGCCTTGCCAGTCACTCACCCTCTCTGATTTTAGTTTGCTTATCCAAAAATGTGGCTAATGATTACTGAGTCTAGCTCAGAGGGGTGCTCTCAGGTTTCAGCAACATAAACTGAAATGCTTTAAAAATAAAATACATTTTATGAACATACTATTTCACCCTCCCACACTGGCAAGCAAGAGGGGCTGAGGCTTAAATACACTTAGGGAGTGACCCTCTCACACCTGCTAAGGTGGCAGGGCTTGGGCAACACGGAGAGCCATACCTAAGGCAGCCATTCTCTTCAGGAATGGCTGCCCTGGGGCACCAGCACTGCCCAGGCTTGCTCGCACCCTTTTTCCATTTGACCAATTTGTATGCATCAAGCACTTCCTACAGGACAGGTGCTCTACTATGTGCTTCAAGATAAGCAGTTAAGAGAAAAATGTTCTCACAGAGTTTATATTCTAGCTGTCGGAGGCCGGAAAGTAAACAATTATATCAAACTTAGCAGGTGCTATGTGGAATTAAGGTTAATAGTGATGGGGGAGAGGTGCTACCTTGCACAGGATATCAGAAGGCCCCTCTGATAAGAGGATGTTTGAGCAAAGACTAAAAAGAGGTGAGGGAATAATTTAGCGGGGAGCCACACCTTAAGTCTAGGCTGGAGGACACTAGAGTTCAGGGAACAGAGATCGACAGCACCACAGCAACAAAGATTCCCCACCATGCTGGTTATTCTCCATTTGCCTCCCTTAGATTGTCACCACCTTGTTCTTTCCTGCTGTTCCCTGTAGGGATGGGGACTGAACCCTATAGACTACATCTCTGGGTCTGCCTTGTCATCTGCCATTTGGCTGGGTTCAGTCAAAGGAAGTCCCCAGAAGACTGGAGAACAGGATACAAGCAGCGATATTGGCATTCCCATGGCCACAGTTCTTCTGAGACAATCCCACAATTTCCATCTGCCTTCCACAGTCCCTTCAGTGACACATGCTCACATCTTTTCCTATGCTGGGCCCCACAGAGTGGAGGCTCATCTCCTCCAGTAAGCCCTGCAGGATTAGCCTTCCAGATGAGCAGTGTGCACCTACTACCTGTGCAGGAAATGTGTTGTTCAAAGATGCCACTAGACTACCCCTTTCATCAGGGCAGGAAGCAGATAAGCTTTGGCCCTGGAGATACTCATTCCTGATGAAATGTGAACTGTGGCCTCACTCTCCCTCCCAAAGCTCCAGCTCTGTCAAATTACTTATGTCAGTTAAGGCAGTAACAGAAGTTGGGGCTCTACTCTCCCTTTTTTTTTAATCTTAATCCCTTAGGACCTCACTGCCCCAGATGTAGAGCTTCTCGCCAAGATTATCCAACCTCCTTCCTAACTGGAGGAACCCTATCTATCTACCTCTAACACTCAATAACTGATTGCCCAGTTCATTCCCTTGATAACACATTTATCACCATTGGAAAAAGTTGATCGGGGTGTGTATGTCTGCTCTACACATAACAGCCTGCATGTCACAGAAGCCTAGAACTTGCCTGTCTCATTCTACTGTACGAACAGCATCCTAAGCCCAGGCATACAAGAACTCTTAAATGTTTTTGAGTAAATAAACGGTTAACACAAAGAAGCCAAAGCACCTCTGGCTCCCTAACCCCTCCATCAGGATTGCAGCCATACAACATTGTAGTCAGGGGTGGGCAGACACGCTCAGTCTTGGCACTGCAGATTTCTCAAGTTGTGTCTGGGCAATAGGAGTCCGAGAATCACTTAGGTTCCACCACAAGAGGCTCCATCTTTCTGAATACTCCCAGCTTTCCATTTCTGAGTGGCCAGACCCTTTGCTAAATAGTTCCCAGGTTCAGGGAAGCAGAGAAGGGAAGAGTATGAAAGAGATGAACTTTGGGCAAAAGTTGAAGAAGCCAAGCTCAGGCAGGTCCATGATGGCAGCTAGGAAGGCAGCAGCTACTATCCCAAAGACACAAAATATGGCTCACCTGGTCATCACCACCAAGGAAGGTAGGACCCAGGAGCCCTTGAGGGTGAGTGCTGCTGGCTAGTTTTCTTCCACTTAAGGGGCATAAGCCTAGGCACAAATAAGTGCTGCTTCAGGTCAATCAGTATGTTGTGCCTGGTCTTCTCTTCAGTCCCCATTCTACTCCATCCTGGAATCCTCCACCGTCACCCACTGTGTGGCACCACTGCCACTAGGCCAACCCCTTAACCCCCAAAGAGACCCAAACAGCGCAGAGGTGCATCAGTCAACCTTTAATGTCCAAAAGAGGCGTGGATGCAGAGCATAGGAGATGTGGCAGGGTCTCAGGCCCTGCTCCAGAAATGAGGGAGAGATGAACACAAACTAGACACTTTCAACTGGCCACACAGTCTGGGAGGGCAGGGGGAAACAGATTTGGACATTCATAAAAAAATAAAACCTAAAATCAAGCACTCAATTTTGTGCCCATTGAAGGGTTTGATATAGAACTCAGTCACCACCCAGGTCCTCCCTCCCCTGCCAACATCGAAAAGCAAGCTCAGCACACACTAAGGGCTTAGGGAGGGGCATTCTCCTGCCTCCCCACTAGCCCCAAGAATGGACTTGAAAATAAAATAAGTTGGATTCCCCACCCCCCACATTGTCAACCCTACACGAGAGTTTTGAAGGCGACTCATGAGAATCAGCAGCTCAAACGGCAATGACCACCCCACCCCAAACCCCACCCTACTCCTATTACATTAACAGACAAGATTTCCCCTGCATCCTCCTTGGAATCTCCTCCCCTCACAGCCCTGCTCCATCTCCTGCTATCTGGCTTCATCACTACAAGACTGACCTCCTCCAAGGCTCCCCAGAAGCTCCTCTCAGCTCGTTATCACTTCCATCCTCACCTCCCACGAGAGACTACAACCATCCAGTCACTGTCCCTCTGCACAGAGACCCAGCTCCAGAGCAGATGGCAGCATGGTCATCCTGTCCTGGGTGGTCCTCCTAAAGCCTTCCCAGGGAGCAGACAGCCAGAGAGCAAGCAGAGTGTCTGGGCCAGATGACAGCAAGGAGTGGACACCTATCTTTACTTCCAAAACAGGTATTCCCAGAAGCTTTTAACATAAAGGCCCACTTAGAACTGTGTCCTCTACCTACCCATACACCCTAGAGATTCCACACTGTCCTACCCCCTCCCTCCCCTCTACCCCAAACCCCACACATATATATACACATACACACACACACACACACACACACACACAGGAGAATCAAGGGAGACATCGATTTGGTTTGATTGCTAACACCTAACTAAGGAACTACAGTCACCAGAAATTCCCTTGCCAGCCAACTAACAACAGGGGCTGCTCTAAGAGAACTCCAGAGGAATGAGAAAACTGAGGGCTAAGCAGGGAGCAGACAAGAAGAATGTAAAGAAAAAAAAAAAAAATTCAAGCTAATCCTACCCCCAACATCCTCCTGTCATGATCTCTGGTAGGAAGAACAAAAGAAGGTAATCCACAAAGACACAGCCCTTACTTAGAAATTCTGACAAGACAGCAAGACAAGTCTGCTCCCCACTCCCACACACCACAGACAAACACATCTCAGGGCCCCCTAAAGAACACATCCCCTCCCCACCCCCTCTGCCCCAAGCCATTGAATCACAGTTCAGTGGAATATTCTCCCTGGTACTAGATCAATCCCTCCACCTCATTCCTATCCCTTTCTCCTTGACAATCCCAACACTGTCCCCCTGCAGACTCCCTGGCCCTCCCAAAGCAGCATCCACCGCCAGGAAGAGGCAGCTGCACAGTTTTAGTTCCACCTCCAGAGACCTATTTCTTTTCCTCAGCCCTCCTAGTCTTTCAGCCTCCTAGTATTTGTGGAGGGCCTGTTATTTTGTATAGCGAAAGAAAGAGAAAAGGGAGAGATGGGAGAGATTTCCTAGTGCAATACAACCAAAAAATATTTTTAAAGTCTTGAAAAATAAACATAAAGCAGCCTTCTTCCCCAGGCAACTAAACAGAAAGAGGTTTGGTTTTGTTTACTGCAACATACACATGAAATCGAGTATACAGTCCATGCAGTAGCACAGCCATTGGAGAGGACATCCTGATGCTGGCCCCAGTGCAAAACAGTCCCAGCAACGCCGCCTGCTTGCCATCGCTGCCGTCGCCACTGACACCTTCACCACAGCCACCTAGCCTGACTTGAAGAGGAGGATTGCAACTTGACCCAAGTAAAAATAGATGAAGTGCTTTGTCTCGTGTGTGACGTAGCTGCCAAAATTTCGGCCCACGATACAATGCCAGGTAGGGTTGTATTTCTTGTCAAATTCCTAAAAAAGAATAAAGGTAGAGAAGAAAGGTAACTAGGGTAGCTAGAGAAGGAGAAATCAGAATGGGAGTCTCTCCCTGCAACTCCAGCACCAACACATTTAGTTGTTATCACCCCCACCCCACCCCTTGGCCTCAGCTCCCCAAACCTCAGGAGCTCAGGTTCTAAGGCTGGCCAGGACACTCTTCCCCTCATTAATAATGGAACACCACAAAGGCTCCATTATTTCTCTCCCCTGAGCCTCCAGCACTCTACATTCTGATCATCTGTCCTCCCTCTAGCTACCCCACCCACTCACACCACCCCTAACCCACCCTGGGATTCTTCAGCAAGGGAATCAGAGAGGCCAGTGGAATAAAGGACCATTTGTCAAATAGCATGGCACAAATGGGGAGCCACCACCCGCTGCATCACACGTTACTAAACCAGCATTTCCAAATGTTAAACACCAAGGCATTAGAGCAAAACAGGACCAAACATCAGGAGTATCAGGAGGAGTTCTACATAAAACATTAAAGTTAAAGGCACTCCCATGTGCCTGGCACTGTGTGGGCTCTATGTACCAGAACAAAGACCTCCACCATGAGATCAAGGAAATTCCCTCAGGGGCACAAGTTCAGCATCAAAACTACAGAAAATTTTTGTGAGCTAATCAGCTCCCTACTATCTGTGGCTCAGCCAGCAGACTCAGTTCTAGAGGCATCCTGCCTTGGCCATAAAAGGGCAGCAGCCCCCCACCATGGGCCCACCAATGCTGCCAACTCTGGGGCTCCATCCCTCAATATGCTCAACATACAACTTGTCTGGTCTTCTCACAGCCCCCATACCACACAACTCTCCAAGAAGTACTAGGAAAGTGAAAACCAAACCCAGCTTCAATCCTAGCTCTAGACTTCGTGTAATTCAGGAGAGCCAGTTACTTCTCTAGTTATCATTTCTCCATAAGCAAAATAAGAGCTGGACCGACTACAGGACAGCGAGAAGGTGAAGTCCCAAATGGGTCTGCAACCCTTGGCTCCACACCCAAAAAAGTCTCTCAGGACTCTAGAGGTTCTTTTCATCCTACCCACTTGGGTAGGAAAACACAGTTCTGTAAAACTCAAAGAGACCCTACCACTTCAATGGACCAGACTGTACCATTCTTACACATCCTTCTTGAGATGCCAGAGCTGAGAATGTCAAATACTGGGACTATGCCTCCAATTGATATGGGACCTGACTGGGAATCAGGGGGGCCCCAGTACCCTTTTTCTTACTTCTGGCTCAGCTGCTTCCTTACCATGTTAACCATATCCAGTCACGCATTCACTCAGGAATTTTTCAGAGACCAAACCTATGGCCCCATTATTGCTCATCCATTTCTTAAAAATTGTATATTCAAGCCCACCCTTTTCTTAAGAATGTAGAAAGGGTTGATGTAGTATCTGAGTCCTTTTTAAGGAAAAAAAAAGGAAACCTCCTACACAATGATTATTATAGGCATACCCACTTTAAATGATGTAGCTCCCTGAAAATTTGTACATCTTTCCCTTTCAAATATCCTTGATCTTAATTTTGAATAGTTCTGAATTGGGCCAAAAATATTTAATTCTGAAGTTTCTCTGCATAATCTTATACTTCCCCAATGTCTTGCAGTAGCATAATTATCTATAAAAGTAAACATATATGCACACACCTAACAGAGCTATTAACAACTCTTAAGGTCAATGCTTGGGCAATTCAGAATCACTTGCTAGTTTGTCTGCTTTGCAAGTTCCTAGGGTTTTGTCTGCATAGGATATATGGGCTTTCTTATGTTCCCAGCTCCAGATCTCCCTAGAGGTTAGCTCAGCTATCAATCCCCAACCCTGGCTATCAGCCCCCAGCTCCCCCAGCTCACCTTCTTGATATAGGCAGCAATGTCCTTCTCTATGTTGTACTTCTCCATGGCCTGTGTGGCACAGTCAACGGCATCCTGTTGCATGTCCTCAGACATGTCTGCGTTCTTGATCACTGCCTTCCGGTCAGACATCGTGACACTACAGAAGGAGCAGAGAGGTAAGGCTGACACAACTCCATGCTCTGGGCAGTGAACATTAGCTGCTGGGTGTGGGGTCCCAGTGAGAGAGGGGAGTATACAGGGTGAGCACAACAAAAAACACAGACATGAAGCATTAGGAGAGAGAGCTCCTAAGCGTTTAGCAGAGACATTGTTCCCACCTGGGAAATATAGGGCCAATAGGACATAATAAATCATCAGTTTTTATCATAGGTAAAATGAGGTTTTCCAACTCTAAAATTTACTTCTGATACTCTGAATAGCACCAATAGTCAAGATGATATTACAGTGTATCATCTACTAGCTGTGTCCTTGGACAACTTACATTATCTTTGTGTTTTTGTCATCATCTGTAAACTGGGGACTGCAGGGTTGTCCCGAGAATAAACTAGGTATCCTAACACTTGAACAGAATAAGCCTCTGATTTAATGACCGTTATTACATCATTGGCATCACAGCAGAAAGAAGATGGACTAGGACTCGGTAGGCCTGACTCCTGGTCCTGAGTTTATCTCTAGTGGTCTTAGACAAGTCACTTGGACTTCTTGCCTTTGATTATTTTCATTTTAGCAATGAGGACAGCTCTCTACTGAGAGTTGTTTTAAGGATTAACTAAAGTTATATGATAGCATCTGCAGACAAGAACAGTCTACAAGGGATTTTCCATCAACCAGATCCAGCCTACCACCTGTTTTTGTAAAATAAAGTTTTGCAGGAACATGTAACAATGGTAGAGTTGAGTGGCTGCAAGAGACTGTATGGCCTGCAAAGCCAAAAATACGTCCTATCTGGCCCTTCACAGAAAAATGTTGCCAACCTCTGCCCTATACAAAAAGGGGTAGGGTATATTCCAGGCCACCAATGCCCTGTGGGGCAAAGATAATGATAATTATCCCTTCAAGTACTCCGGGCTGAGATATCCCTTAGAGGTAGAGAGGGTGAGCAGGCAGCCTCAGACTTAGCCAGTCGGTCACACAGGACATGTCTCTGTCCCATCCTCCCCTCTGCTTCCCTACTCTCCTCAGTACAATGTTCATTCTTTAAAGCTCAATACAATTTTTGAAAGCCCTAGATTTTGGACCCAGCTTCAACACTGATTTGTCATTTCTTTGGTGCTTACTCATGTCAAATTTATTCATTCATTCAAAAAGTACTAACCTATTAGGTGATGTGAAAGGTATTATGTTAGGGAACAATATCTTATTTTCCTCAAAGGAATGCTGAAGTCTTACTTCCCCTAAATAAACATAGGCTTGGGAACAACCTGGAGATAAAGGGTTAAAAAAGGTACCTAAGAAAGGTAAAGAATTACTATTTTAGCAACCTTGTTTCATATCCCTGTTATCAGGACCATGGCATTCATCCCATAGCAACCAGAGTTCCCAAGCAGACCCTGCATGGACCCTTCCTGGGATGAGAAGAATCTCAGGACCTGCCTGACAGGTGGCATGTGAGCTACTACACAGGAACAGAGAAGGATGAGCCCTTTGTCCTCGACCATGGAGGACGCATGCGACCATGCGTCCCAACGCATGGAGCAGTAACAATCTCCCCATCACACCACCCCTAAAAGCACCACTCTGTGGCCCAGCCGAATGGACAAGAGATGCTGTCATTCCAGCTGTATATAATACATGGCTACATAGGAGCTTGCGTGCTCAAGGACAGATCCTTGGTATCATCCCAGGCCACCCTGATCGGAGTTCACATTGGCCTGTGGACTAGATGGCTGAAAGGGAAAGCAGAACTCACCACCACCATCGGAGCCTGCACCACACACATACCAGCTGCCAGCTAGGCAGCCCTTGACCACATCCAAGGCCCCTTCATCTAGCACTATCAAACTAAGCAGGGCTGGTTCCACTTCGGCAGAAACTGACAGAGCAAAGGGGTGGTAGACCAGCACCCTCTGCCCCTACATTCTGGAGAGGGAAAGTCAGATCCTCAACTGGAATCTGTGAGCACTATGTGGTGCTGAGGAAAGATTCCATGAGCCCTGTTCAAGGACTGACTGGCTACATGACCTTGGGCAAATCAACATTTTCATTTCAAAAACCAATGGCTGAAATGAAATAAGTGGGGCAATCTCAATGGGTTTGAGAAAAGGAACAGCAGCAGCACAGGGAGAAATGTTCTTATAAGGCTCTGTGTAAGTGAAGAAAAACTAGTGTCACCTGGTGGCCTATTCCAGGTTACCACTCAGAAGGGGGCACTGTTTACAAACCCAGGGGTGGGGGTGGGGCCTGGTTAGACAGCAGAGTGAAAGTATGAAATTGGCACCATTTTGCCTGCAAGCTCACCTGCTCCACTGCCTCTTTCCCAAAGTCCAAAGGAGCAACTTTGTTACGGTAATTAAAAGCCACCCTACTCTACAGTAGAGAGCCTGTGGTTACATAATGCCGGTCTTGTGACTACAACGGCACGATTCTTCACCCCTGGTCCCCCAGGCATCTGAGAGAGGTGAAGCCCAACCCCTACCACCCCTGTCCAAGGTGCCCGTGAGCAAAGCAGAGGAAGGTGTAGAGCCTAGCCCCTCCCTCCTGGGTAAAAAGCAAGGGACCTGGGCCTCCAGATAGGAGAAGATGGCCAGAGGGCCCCAGGCCAACCGTCTCAGTCACGAGCCAGGGCTCCTGTGAAAAGCGCAAAGGGCACTCCAGGACACCCCCATCCTCTATCCCGGGTTTTGCAACCAAAAAAAAAAAAAAAAAAAGGTAAATCCTCAAATGCTCAAATGACACGGACCACCCTCCCCACCCACCAACACACACACACTGCTACTTCCCCCTTTGGGCTCTCCAGGGGGCCGTATCCCTCCATCATCCCATCCCCCAGAGCGTTGCGGTCCCGAAGGGCAGCACCTGGGGAACGAGGAAGCATCCTCCCCCCTCCATCTCCGGCCCCGGCCGGTCGGCCGCCCTCCCCCGCCCGGCCTGGAACAGCGCTGGAGTGACTGGGCGTCCTAGCTGCAGGAAGGACGCCCCAGAGGGTGGCGGTGGCGGCAGGAGGAGCCGCGTCACGCCCGAGCCCTCTCCACCCCCTCTTCCCCGGCCCCTGATACTAGGGGCCTCCACGCAGCGCCGGGAGACTCCCGGGGGGCGGGGGCGGGGGCAGCGGCAGCTCCGCAGCCCAGGCCTCCAGCAGCACCACGAGGGTGGCCCGGGCAGAGAGTGGCGCAGACCGGGCTGCGCCGGGAGGGAGGGGCGGCGGGGGCGCGCGGTGCTGCCCGGACCGTCAACGCGGAGGACTGCTGGGCCAGCCCTGTTACAGGCCTTGGAGCCAGCTATAGAAGCCGCAGGGCCACCGCGGCGAGGCCGGGGCGCATGGAGCGGCACGCGACCGGCACAGGTCCGCCACACGGGGGACGCCCCCACCCACAGCTCACCTTCACCGAGGCGAGTCCGCACGGGCCCCTGGGGAGCAGCGATGGCCCGAGGCAGAGCGCAGGCAGGGGTGGTGTCCCCTGGGCTCCTCCAGCAGCAGCAGCAGCCGCCGCCGCCGCGGTCTCCGGCTCCCGCAGCCAGGGGCCGATAACTCCCCGCCGCGGTCCGCCCTGGGAGTTTCGCCGGCTGCCCGCGCTCCGCCTTGCGCCGCCGGCCCGCCCGCTCCGCGCTAGCGCCTCACAGCTCCGCTCCGTTCTGCCGCTGAGAGCGGTGGACGCGCGGCCCCCGCTAAAATAGCGCCCCGCCCCCGCCCCCCCGCCGCGCGCGCCGCCGTCCGCGCTCCCCATTGGCTGCGCCCGCCAGGCCCCGCACTGCGGGCTTCTCCCCGCGCCGCTCTCGCCCCACATCTTGTTTCCTCCCACAATGCCTCGGGGCGGAGGGAGGGGGCAGGGAGGAGGAGCTGGAGCGGGTGGGGGAGGGAGCCGTGGCCTTAAGAAAGGAGAGAAATGCCGACCCCTCCGCCCGGGGCTGGAGAGACCAGGCCTGAAAAGGAATTAAGGGACGTGGCCCTGAGAGAGGAGGGGTGTGGGGACCCCAGTCCCAAGGAGAAAAAAGGGAGAGGGGGATGGAGATTTCAGATCCAGGGAGCAGATGGGGCTGAGGTAGAGACCCCAACCTTAGAGAGAGGACGGGGAGGAGGTGAAGTCACTAGCCTCAGGGGAAAAGACAGGACACTCCTTCCTCCCGTGTCTGTGGGAAAGAGAAGGGCAGCCAGCACTAGGGAGAGGGAGAGGCGTAGGGGCCCAGGGCTCCCTCCCCTCACGTCCAGAAAGGTACCTTCTTCCTCCAGCTTAGCCTTTGTTGTTTGAGGCTGAAGGACCTAAACGCTCAGCTGGGCGCCCAGCTGGTGTTTATCTACAAGAGCAGTGGAGACAGAGTTGAAGCAAAATTGATGGGGGGTGTTTTGGTACGCAGGCCTCTGCTGTCCTTGCACATTTATGGCCTTGGGGTCCTTCTGGGACGGGGGTGAGAGTGAGCCATTCCTGTCGTCTGTCCCTGCCTGTCCAGAACTGGTGAAGAGTAAATAGAAGCCCCTTGAGGTGCCAATTAAAGCCTGTCAGAGCTGTGGAGCCTTAAAAACCACCCCGTCCACACCCCTCACTTTATAAAGGAGAGAATCAAAGTACAGAGAGGGGAGAGCCCTGCCAGATCCCGCAGGTCGGGCTTAGCTGGCTTCTGGGCTGAAAAGCGGTGCACCCAGGCAGCAGCCCCTCTGGAGGCTGAAGAGACTGCTGGGAGGGTGAGTGTAAACGTGCGGTTGGGAAGCTGCCTGCCCTCCCTCCACCCCACCACCAGAAAAGACCACAGGCCTGTGGTTTTCACTAGCCTCAGAGGAAAAGACACTCTGGTCTGTTTTATACAGAAAGTGTCTACCTAAAGGGCTGACGAGCCTTTATTGGGAACCGAGCATTCTGACCACACAGTAGGGATTAAGAAGCTGCCAGGGAAAGCTCCCACTCCCATCTTTTTCCGTTTGCTGCTCCCAACCATAGTCAGGAAGTCAGACTTGCTCTGGCCCTGGCCTACTCTAGTTTGAAGCATCAAAAGTTAGTGTTCATTATGTGTCAGGGGAAACCTGGAAATATGCCCTCTGGTTTCTGCTTTCCACAGCTCTGTAGTCTAACAACCTCAGTTGGGGATTTCAGAGGAACAATCAAGGCCTGGGATATCCCCTCACACTAAGGGTATTCTGATGTCAGTCTTTGTGTTCATGAATGGGAGGCGTGGCCTCTGGGAGGGTGCGGGG